AGCGCGGCGCTGCCTGGGCCACCTCTTTCTCAGCCTGGGCATGGTCTACCTCCGGATCGGGTAAGGGCCGCTCACACCCCCTGCACGCGCGTCCCGACAAACTTGGCGTAGCCCGGGGAGCGGTTGTGCCGCCCGCGAGCCGCCGCCGGCCACCAACTTACTTGGCTTCTCGGAGAGGCGGGGTGGGCGCGGTGCGGGAGCGGTGGGCGCACAAAGGTCCCCCTCAGGCGGGAGCCCCAGGGGCGGCTACTGCTCCAGAGACAGGGGCAGGGGGACCGGCCATCCCGAGAACGCCTAAGGCTGGAAACCCCCAGAACCGGGGCCAGCCAGCAGGTACGCTAAGGCTTGGGGGACTCTGAAGAGGACTAGCCGCTGCAAAGGGTTAGCCTCTCACCAGGGACCCTTCAGACCAGGGCATGGGAACAGCAAGTCCAGCAGAAACACCCAGCCAGGACCACAGCCGCTCCCAGGGAGCTCAGCCCCCGGAGCGGGAGAGGAACTCTGTACACAGAGGCGCGAGCACGGCCGCTCCTAGTACAGGGCAGTCCCCGGGTGGCGGGCGGGGCCGTCCGTGAACAGGGAACAGGTACCCGCTGCTCAGAGCCTTGCCACTCCCCGATGTCCAAGGGCCCTCAGACTCCCAGAGCCCTATCCCAGGCCAAGGGGACAGCGCCAGCCATCCTAACATGCACACAAAGGTAGGACAGGAGATGGGCCAAGACATCTAGGGAGACAAGCTCACAGAGCTAGCGCCAGAGAGAGGCGGGACACCCCGCCCCCTAAAACTGGGCACCCGAGGCGGCCGGCGGGCCCGCGGAGCAGCCCTTGCCGCCTCACCCCAGCATTTCTAGGAGGTGGGGCCGGGGCGGCGCTCTGGCTGGAAGGTGGGAGGGGGCGACTCGAGACGCGTCTTGGAGCTGCATTTGCACGGTCACCCTTTGTATTTCGGAGATAATGCGCGTGGAGCCCAGAGGGGTGGGGTGGGGGCTGTGGGGATGGATAGAGGTTCTGACGCTCGCGGGCCACCTTGGCAGGTTTCACGCAAGCTACTCCCCCAGCTCTGCTCCGCTTGGGGAGCAGCGGCCAGGGTGCGTGTGGTGGATCCTTTGTGTTTTG